ATGAAACAAAAGGAGATTTGTGGGGTAGATATACGACTCGGCAACATCTTCTGCTTTTAAGTTTCCTTTGGGACCTAATTACACTCAGCTAAGACATGGACGTGTGGCATTTTGTTTCTTGAAAATATTCCTCTCTCTTATTCTTGTAAGACTTGATTGCACAGGATGCTGGTGTCGAAGTTGATCCTCTTGCTGACCTGAACACAGAATCTGAGAGAAAACTGGGCCAGCTTGTTGCGGAGAAGTATTCTGAAATCTCTAAACTTCAATTTTGCCTCTCTTTTTTTTTTTTATTTTTTTGGTTATATCCTAATTTTCCCTTATGGTTTATATTGTGGTAACTAATCTGGAATGGGCTGATTTTTCTTTTAGGTATGGCACTGAATTCTATATTCTACATCGCTATCCTTTGGCTGCTCGGCCATTCTATACTATGCCTTGCTTTGTTGATCCAGCCTACAGTAATTCATTTGATGTCTTTATTCGAGGTATGCAATAAAATATTGAGAAAATTACATATAAATGGAGTTAAAGTTCCATATTTACTTAGAGGCTGAGTCAAAGTTCCATATTTCTCTAAAATGGATTGCTGAGGTGGCACATGGTTTTTTACTATTCAGAAATTGTGGTGCCTAAAATACCCTTCCGCGAAGGTACTACTTTTTTGAACTGAAGGTACTACTTTTTGGCGTCCAGGTACCATGTTTTTTAAACACCCGCGAAGGTACTACTTTTTCTCCGAAGGTACTACTTTTTTGAAGTGAAGGTACTACTTTTTTGAACTGAATGTACTACTTTTTTGTTAAGGAAGGGCATTTTAGGCACCATAATTTTTTAAACAGTAAAAAACCATGTGCCACCTCAGCAATCCATTTTAGAGAAATATGGAACTTTGACTCAGTCTCTAAGTAAATATGGAATTTTGACTCCATTTATATGTAATTTTCCCTAAAATATTACATGTAACTGTTACGAATGCATTAATAGTTGAAACATTTTGTACGTGTAATTTTGGTTTTATTTTATTTACTTTTTGTCAATTAAATCACCTGTTCCTTCTAAAGGAGCTTCTTTGATGCGATCTTATATTACCTGGAAAATTGTTCTATTGTGATCTAATTAAGCAACTCAGTTGATGGCCCATTCTCTGCCAAAAGAGACTTGGAATATTTATACACAGGAAACTTGTCATTGTGTGGTTGGTTTTGGAAAGTGGGAGATTTACACCTTCATTAGATTGAGATGATTGTTAAAGGATTATGAAAAATAAAACTAGAAATAAGTTCCTCCAGGAAAAGTAGAAGTACTCTCAATCTATAATATAAAGAGGTTCAATTGATTTTTGTGGTACGAATGAATAAAAGAAAATTCTTGTGGTTAACCTCTCTCATATGAAATTATGGCAAGGATGATGATGATGAATTGATTGATGTAGTATAGACATTTTGAAATAGAAACTTGTTCAACTGTTGTAGAGATCTTCTCGTGATCTGGCTCTAAAAGGAAAAGCGAGACAGGGATGATTTTTTGCAATATGCAATGTTTTTATTGCAAGAGACGTAATTTCTGGCTTTGACGCTTTTTAGCGTCTGGTTTGGTGATGTTGTAACGGATGAATTTTGTTAAACAAGTGGAAATATAGAAATTTCAACACTAGTTTTGGATGTTTACGTTACAACTAGGTACCATTTGGACACAATAGCTGGTGGGTTTAGTATGCATATCCAACCCTAAAATTTTTTTAAAAAATCTTTTGAGGATAATCTGAATCCGTTATATGTACACATTTGCTTTTGACACTCATAACAAAGTCAATCTTAAATAGCTTGCACTCGTTCTATATTTTTCAAGAATGGATTCTTTATTTCCATTCAATATCTTCCGATGTTATGACATTCTTTACTTATATTTTGGCTCAATTCTGTCAATTTATTTTGAGGTTTTTGAACGACCCCATCCCCATTAGCCTTATTTATCAGTTTGACTGTTGTGATGGTTGTTTCCTTGAAATATATGAAAATTCTCTTTCCACTTTTTTTAGGTGGTGATACATTTGTTCTTACTTAATTGATTTATCCCATTTTTCGTTAGGGGAAGAGATAATTTCTGGAGCTCAGCGTATCCATATACCTGAATTCTTGGCAATGCGTGCGGAGGCTTGTGGAATTGATGTGAAATCAATATCAACATATATCGATTCCTTCAGGTATATACTTTTTTGTTGAGGGGTTTTCATATTTATTCCTTAAATTTCTTGTGGTAGATCTCGAAGTCAACAGTAGTCTTGACTTCATATCCTAGTTGGTGACCAAAATAAACGTTATATTGTTTTTTTTTTTTTGGTTGCTTTTTAAGATGACGAGATTAGTTAATATTGATGAGAAATTATATTAACAATTAGTGTTAAAAAATTTCTATTTCCAATTAATTTGTTCGAAGCTACTGTTTCTTTTATGTTTTAGGCTGAATGTTTTACCTATGCAACAATGTGATATGCGGAATTTTTTTTTACCATTTTAAAATAAAATCAATAGTTAAAATTGGACTGGTAGATTTGGGAAGATGGTTTACTTTCTTCTGCGTTTTTAGTTATTAATGTGTGATAAAAAACCTAAGCACCACATAACAATTCTTTGACATGCATAGGTGTTAAATATACAATTGTAAAATATACAAGAAGTCAAATGTTGTATATTTTTTGATGTTGTAAAATATACAAGAAGTCAATCGTAAGCACCACATATATGTTATTTATTTTTTGATGTCGTTAAATATACAAGAAGTCAATGATGTGGAACATTCGAGCTTTTCCACACCAAAGATTTGCATCTCTGATCTAATTGTTCTTTGTTGCAGGTATGGTGCACCCCCACATGGTGGGTTTGGAGTGGGGTTGGAGCGTGTTGTTATGTTATTTTGTGCCCTTGACAACATCCGCTCTACATCGCTCTTCCCTCGTGACCCTCAAAGGATTACTCAGACTATTTATTTGAGTGCAATTTGTCTGGATGTAATGTTCTTTGAAATGTGAGGGTAGATGAAATATTCACCGAGAAAAGTATTATGTTTGCATTAGACTAATGATCACCTTTTCTTCTTATACTATATCTCTATTTGAGTGCAACTTCATCCTTCCAAACCTCAACTGCTCTCTCTCTATATATATATATATTAATGTCTTCCTTTAAATTGGTGCACATACTTGTCCATCGGATTCGGCCGGTAGCATTCTGTGTTTCGTTTAATTTCAGTGTCAAAATGCGTCTCTCTCTCTCTATATATATATATATTAATGTCTTCCTTTAAATTGGTGCACATACTTGTCCATCGGATTCGGCCGGTAGCATTTTGTGTTTCGTTTAATTTCAGTGTCAAAATGCGTCAGATTGAACTCAATGATCGAAAGCAGAACCACAAAGATGTGCAAGCCTACTTTTTTTTTTTTTCCTAGTTGGGAACTCACACACACATGTCTCCACCGAGGCTCGAACCACTGACTTCTCTTTGAAAAGTAGGGGCTTGATACCGCTAGACCACTAACCTGTTGGTTACAAGCCTACTTCTATTATATTAGAAAACGATTTACATGTAGCATATTCATTGGAATAGGTTAAATATGGTTACAGTGCCAGTTTTTTAACAATTGTGCCGATCCATAATTATATTTATATATATATATATATATATATATATATATATATAACACACTTGCAATGCACAAAATAAAAAATTATAAAACATTAAAAAATATATAAATAATTTTGCACTATTATTAAAAAAAATCATATTATTTATTAAAATAAATAAAATTTTAAAAATTTAAAATAAAGTTTTAAAAAATTAAATATAAAAATAATTTTATTCATAAAGAATGTGGATTACAAAAAGAAAGTATATTTATTATTTATTTATTATAAAATGTAATGGACTCAAACACAATAACGTATTGAAATACAATTATTGAAACTCTATTAAAAGGAAAGTAAATAAAAATAAGAAACCCAACCCTACTATTTGAATTAATATTACAAGGAAGGTAAATTTATTATAAAAAGTAATATATTGAAAGTTTGAAACACAATTTGTACTTTTTTTTAACAAAACAAAATCATGTCGCCTGAACCCCAAAACCCTTCGGAGCCGCTGTTGTCTCATTGGACGCGTCAGACCCTCCCGCCAATTACGGCGACGTCCCTCTCGAGGACCTCCAGTCGAAGGCAGTCATCGGCCGGAGATGGACCGAGCTCAAGTTGCTGACGGAGGAGTTGAAGGACCAGAGCGTGTTGACTCGGAGACGATCCGTCCCTTAAAGAATGTGACCTTCTTAGTGGTGAGAGAGAACATTCACCGTGTAGTGTGTGTTGACTGCTGGCGCTCAGGGGCGGAGGCAGCATGTGCCCGGGGGGCAGCTGCCCCCCTGCCCATGTTGCCCCACTATAATTTTTTTATTTTTTTATACATAAATTTATAAAAATTGACACAATGCCCCCCTAAAATTGATAAAATGGCCTCTCTACCCCTGAATTCACTAAAATTAATTTTATTTTATGCGTATAATTTGTAAATATTTATAAAAACACCCTCATAAAATTTATAAATTATCCCCATAAAATTATCTATTTCTAAAAATGTCTTTAATTTTTTATTCTTTTTTCCTTTTTATACTTCAAATTTCTTTTTGTCATCTTAAAAAACTTTTTCATTCTTTTTCTACAATTAAAACCTATTTTTTCCTTCAAAATTCTCTCATATTTTTTCCTTTTTGTTTCATTTTCTTCTTAATTTTTTTTTTTTTTTTTTTTTTTTTTTGGCACTCTAGCATAATTTATGTGCAATAACCTTTTTTTTTTTTTGCTATTCTTATTCATTTTTTATTCATTATTTTAATGCACTTTTTATACACTTATATTTTCAAACTGCTTGAAAAAAATTATTTTATCAGTGTTAACATGCCCCTCTGAACCAAATTCTGGCTCCGCCACTGCTGCCACTAACCTCGTCAGCCACCAAATGGTGAAGTTTGCGAGTAGTCTTAGCAAAGAGTCTTGTGTTGATGTTGAAGGGATCGTCTCGGTTCCCAAAACTCCCATTAAGGGCACTACTCAGCAGGTGAGACAGTCATATATTGTATTTACTTACATATGTGTATATATAAATATCATTTTGCGATAAGCTTGTTTTTTTTTTTTAGTAAAGTGCAATAAACCCCCCTCAATTATACCTCAACAAACAAAAAACCCCTGAATTTTTAAAGTAGCAAAAAACCCCCTATATTTAGTTGTTTGATTGCAACTTACCCATTCCGATGGCCGGCCGATCATTTTTTAAGGTTTGCCGGGCACGTGATTAGGAATATTTGTTTAAAAGACCATACAGCCCTTATGGAATATAAAAGACCGTACAGCCTTTGGTTGACCACTCAATAGTCCAATACCATCCAAACAATCCCTAACGCCTTTAAAAAAAAAACAAAATAAAGAAACACCATAGATCAAGTCAGGATGAAGAAGACAATGTTCGCATCCACCGACAACATGTTCGGTCTTCTCATCGACCGACGATGTGCTCAGTTAAACCCAATACAGTGCTTGGAAACTCAGATTATTCATATCGAACCCCACACACACACCATAAAACCCAATTGAAACCACAAACCCACTGCCACAACCACCATCACTGTCGATCAGGTTGAGGATAAAGAAGATGATGTTCGCTTCGACTGAGTGCTCCGATTCCGCGCTTGGAAACTCAAATAATTTCCGAACCACACACCACAAGCCGTCAAACTCAATTGAAGCCACAAACCCTCCACCACTGTCAATCTCAGATCGGAAATGAAGAAGATGATGTTCGTATCGCCCGATTACTTGCTCGGTCAAACCCGATACAACCCTTGGAAATAATTCATACCGAACCTCACCACACACCGCTAAACCCAATTGAAACCACAAACCCACTGCCACAACCACTATCACCGCCACCACCATTTGGCACGACTTTCTCTCTCCATTGCCATAAGCACACTGCCACAACCACAAACCCTCTACCACCGTCAATCTCTCCATCGCCTTGAACGAGACTGTGATAAAAATAAAAAAATAAAAAAAAACAACAAAATCAATGGCAGACACATTTTAACAGAGACTCAGAAACCTAGTTTCTTATCGGACTCTTCTTTGCACCGCAGGTCCGTCACAGCTGCTGCACTACCCGCCGATTCCACCGGCCACCGGCCGAGCTCGCCGCCGAGTCTCCACGGCCGAGCCCGTCCTCATTACCGTCCGTCCTCTCCACCGTCCAAGTTCATCCACGCCGAAGCTCTCCACCTTGCTCGCCGCTAAGTCTTCAAGGCCGATCCCGTCACCCATCGCTGGGCTATTCCTCCACCGTTTGCTTATTGCCATCGCCACCGCCAGGCTGTTCGCTGCCGCCGCCAATCTAAACTATCCCGTTGCCCACCGCTATGCCAGTTCTGTTTCCTTCCCCGAGCTCAACCCCGTAGTTGCCGCCACACCACCACCACCATTAGATCCATCTCCTCTGCCATGATGCTTGGGTTGTGTTTGGTGAACGTACAGTAGATGGTAAGTAAGTTATAAGACGTAGTCTTCTACGAGGGTAAACTGGTCTTCCACTTTTTCTGGCGCTGGAAGTTGACTTGGTGGGGTAAAATGCAACCAAACAATAGTTTAGGGGGGTTTCTTGCAAAACCCCAATAGTTTAAGGGGGTTTATTGTATTTTACCTTTTTTTTTTTTTTTTTTTTTTACAAACTTATGGGGAATCTATGTAATTTCAAAATTCTTTCGTCTCCGCATTCTTCTACATCATTGTTTCTGTCGATTGATTAACCACCGACGGCGGCAGGACCACAACCTGCAGTCGCCGCAACACTATCACAACCGTCCGTCGCCGCAACAATATCCGCCGCTACCACCATCCTCACCCTCACCCTCACCACCACCACCACCATCCTCACCCTCACCCTCACCCTCACCCTCACCACCACCACCACCACCATCCTTAACCCCACACCACAACCAACACCATATCTATGGAGTTGGCTCAGCACGTCATCGAACAGACATACAAATTACAATCACACAACGAACATCGATTCGGTGCCTTGATTGTCCGATTTGGATATTAGGGTTTTGGGCAGCGAAGAGAGGTTGGGGAGTTCATGGATCGTAGTCTTGTAGAGAGAGATTGAAGATGAGGTGAGGGCACTTTTGCTCGTCGGCGGCGGAGAAATCGTTCTCTTCAGTGGCGGCGTTTTTGGTTGAGGCTAGGAGGGCATCGTTTTTGGTTAAGATCGAGGAGGAGATATTGATTGTGTATACGTTTAGGTTTTTAAAATTACATAAATGTTCCAGTCTTAAATGATGTGGCAAATATTAGCAAAGGTTTTTTCCTTTTTTGTCCAAAAAAAATTGGGACCATGAAAGAGGTGATATATATATATATATATATCGTAAGCAGAAAGTTTGGCATACGGTAATTACTTGCAGAAATGCGGTTGGAAATTGTTCTGAATTTGATACATACTTCTGAAGGTATGAATTGGGAATAATACTCTGGACTCTGGAGGAGATTTATTGAGAATGATGCATGCCAACTATTTTATAATTCAAGAATTTTGTGGGTAAATCATACTCGATCTTTTGGGAAAATTTTGGATGTGTTGATACAGTCAATTTGAGAATTTATTTTATTTTATTTTTAAATTTGAGATTTTTATTATAATATATGGGAAACTTTTTGTATTTTTGGTTAATAAGAAGTTTGGAAGTAACTTTGAAATTGTGTCTTATTATTATTATTATTTTTATGGCTTCAAAGAATTTATTTATGCTGCTGCAGGTGGAAGTTCAAGTGAGAAAATTTTATTGCGTCAGCAAGGCATTGCCAACGCTACCATTTAACCTCGAGGATGCTTCTCGCAGTGAATTTGAAATAAAAAAAAAGCTTTACAGGTACCTGTAATTCTAATGGTGCTTCTAATATTGCTTGAAATGAGATTCGAGTAGCTTATCACTCCGTACGCAGTTGTATGCTGGTGGATACTGATAATGTGTCCACATTTCGCAGAATGAGCTTCCAGCAATTATCTATACTTTTTTGTCGTTTGATAAAATCAATTAATGTACCTTCCATAGTAAAGGGCCTATATTAATTTTGGCAATTTGGTATCTTGATTGGTGCAGGCTGGAGAACAGGTTGTTGGTGTCAACCAGGATACTCGTTTAAACAACAGGTTTCTTGACCTGCGGACACCTGATAACCAAGAAACTTTTCAGATCAGTAGCCAAGTTAAAAGTGTTGGTTCTTATCTTTTGGTTTGCATATTTTATTGGGCTAAAATCATAAACCCCTTTTGTTTCCAAAAGCGTCATATAACCCCACTCAATTATCAAACCACCTTCTGAATGGAACCGTTAAATTGTTGTGAAATGACAATAATGCCCTTGATAATATATTAATATTTTATTAAATTGAAACTATAGTGTGAGAAGGGCAATTTTGTCATTACGAATTACAAGGTTATTTCGGTTAGCAAAATGATACAACTGTTGACAAATCACGTGATACAATCCCGTGGGTGATATTGTAGACTTTTTAAAATATCAAGGGGTAATATGATAGTTTCATTAGTTGAGGAGTTAGTCAATAGTTTTTTTTGAAACAAGAGGGGAGTTTTAAGATTTTAGCCCTATTTTATTTGCATCTGCCCATTTGTGTTCATTGCAATACACAACATAGTGTTTCTTGGAGACTATTGATTTTTAGAGAAGGGAATAAATAAAACACTTTATATTCCTAGATAAGGATATGTCTCTAGCTGTTAGCCTTAGCTAGAAGATAGAACTTTAGAAACATATCAGAAATGGGGAAGGGCAGTCTGAGGTGTTCCATATGGCAAAACTACCTGTACCATATTTGATCTAAGAACTGATGCCATGAATGACAGCAATGTTTAGGAACATGATATTTTTTCATGCTTTATGCTATTTTCGGTTTCTAATTAGACTAGAGGTTTTCTTAATCAAATGGACCTACGTTGTTATGTTAAATGCCCAATGATTTTAGTGGACATAAAAATAGTGCTTTTATATAGAACCCTGACACAAACCTTTTATCTTTTCTTATTCCCTTTCTTTTATACATTTACATTTATTTTGCAATATCTATAGTACTATATATTCTTGGTAGAAGTTAGATGAGATTACCCTATCTGTAGTATATAATATTATATTTATTACTATTAGTATTAATACTGAGATTATTCTTATTATGAACTGGGGGCACCTGTTAAGTGGAGTAGCTATTTTGCTTTAATTTCTTTTTATTCTTTTTGGGGTCGTCTTCTTTTTCATTTTCTTTTTCTTTTTTAACTAAATGTTACTAGATTACAAAGTATACATACTACTACTATTATGGACAAACTGAAGAATAAGGTCTTTAATTACGGTGTACTGTTGTCCAGGTATTTAGTCAGTTTTTGCTACGTGAAGAGTTTTGTTGGATTGATACACCAAAGCTGATAGCTGGTTCTAGTGAAGGTGGTTCAGCTGTTTTCAAACTGGACTACAATGGGCAACCTGCATGTCTGGCGCAGTCACCTCAGCTCCACAAGCAGATGTCAATTTGTGCTGGTTTTGGGCGTGTTTTTGTGATGGGTCCAGTTTTCAGGGCAGAGAAATCCGATACGACCAGACATATTTGCGAGTTTACAGGTCTTGATGTTGAAATGGAGATTAAGGAGCACTATTCAGAGGTAAATTTGGCTGATTGGCTTTCAGTTGCCATATGGACCAGCAATTAGCTATGCAATTCTGTGCGTTAGTAAAATATTGAGCTTATTTTTGCAGGTGATGGATATTGTGGACCACTTATTTGTTGCAATTTTCGACCATTTGAATAAGGAATGCCAGAAAGCGCTTGATACAATAAGAGAGAAGTTTCCATTTGAGCCTTTGAAGGTTAATTCATTGTGATTTTAGCTATTGCTAAGCACCAGTAATATTGGATGTAACAGTTCATCTTGTTTTGATACTTATTATTGACTGTGTTTGAATGTGAAGTACTTGAGGAAGACTCTACGGCTGACATTTCAAGAAGGGGTTCAAATGCTGAAGGTATGCAGATTTTTTTTTTTGGTATAAATTTTACCTGAATAGAGATATGAAGTTATTAAGATGAAAGTGGGCATGACATAAAGAAGCTGTTGCAGTTATTTTTCTTTATTTTTCCCTTAGTTTCTTGGAAGCATGTCGTGGCTCTTGATATTCAGACCATTCAATACCTACCTGTTCTCTCTCTCTCGTGCGCAAACTGTGTGCCTTGATATAACTAAAGCTTATTCAAAGCTGAAGCCTTAAGGTCAAAACAGGGAAGTGGAATAAAGATACCCATGGAGAAGAGCAAAGATGTAAAATGAAACTAAAGGAGATTTATGAAGCAGATATTTGACTCAGCAACATCTTCTGTTTTTGAGTTTCCGTTGGGACCTAATTACCAAACTTCCCGGTGAACTTCCTCCATGGGCCACTTCATCTTTTCCACGGCCGGTGACAGAGCTGCCATTGTTAATGTTTTTGGACTCTTCTAAGACGTGCAAATGTAGCATTTTGTTTCTTGAAAATATTCATTTTCTTATTGTTACAAGTCTTGATTGCGCAGGTTGCCGGTGTCGAAGTCGATCCTCTTGGAGACCTGAGCATAGAGTCCGAGAGAAAGCTGGGCCAGCTTGTTTTGGAGAAGTAATTTGAATTTTGCTAAGCTTCAATTTTAAGCCTTTTTTTTTTTTTTTTTTTTTTTTTTGTCCTTTTTATTTTATCCTTTTAAGGTTTATATTGTGGTAACTGATATGGAATGAGTTGTTTTTTCTTTTAAATGTAGGTATGACACTGTTTTTTATATTCTTCATCACTATCCTTTGGCTATTCGACCATTCTATACCATGCCTTGCTATGATGATACAGCCTACAGTAATTCATTTGATGTCTTTATTCGAGGTAAGCAGTAAAATATTGCACGTAACTGTTACATATAGTTGAAAACATTTTGTTTTGTATGTGTAATTTTGGTTTTCCTTTATTTACTTTTTGCCAATTAAATCACTGGTTCCTTCTAAAAGAGCTTCTGTGATGCAACCTTATATTGCCCTGAAAATTGATAACAAAATGTGATAGCCCAATGCTGCCATGATAGAACCCATATGTTCTATTGTGATCTATTTACTCAACTTAGTTGATGATCCATTTCTTGCCAAAAGAGACTTGGAATATTTATACACAGGAAACTTGTCATTATGTGGTTAGTTTTGGAAATTGGGAGATTACACATTCATTGTATTGAGAAGGTGGTTAAAGGATTGTGAGAAATAAATTAGAGATAAGTTTCTCTGAGAATTGTAGAAGTACTCTCAATCTATAATATAAGGAGAGGTTCAATTGATTGATGTGGTATGTATGGAAAAAGAAAACTCATGTGGCCAACCCCATTCTTATGCGATTGAGTAGTGATACTCACACCAAACACGCAGTGAATTGCCAAACCGAATAATTTTTAATTGGTTATTTATACCAAATACAACTAAGTGGAGGGCTCCACTTCCTTATTTGTTGCATAATTGACCAATTAAAGGAGTATGTCTAGTGATTCACTGCAACTATTCGGTGCAAGAATCATTTTCCTATGTAATGAAGGCAAGGATGACGATGAATTGATTGATAGAATAAGTTTCTCCTGAAATAGTAGAAGTACTCTCAATCTATAATATAAAGAGGTTCAATTGTTTACGTGCTACAAATGGAAAAAGAGAACTCGTGTGGCTCACCCAATTCATATGTGATCAAGGATGATGATGAATTGATTAATTTGGTATGGGCATTTTGAAATAGAACATTGTTCAACTGCTGTTGAGATCTTCTCATGGTTTGGCACTAAGAAGGAAAGTGAGGTAGTAATGATATTACGATTTACAATGTTTTAATTACAAGAGATGTAATTTCATTTTTTACCATATATGAAAGCTTTTGAGGGTCTAGTTTGGTGCTTGTGTAATGGATGAATTTTGTTAAAGAAGTGCAAATATAGAAATTCCAACTCTAGTTTTGGATGTTTAAGTTACATTGTAGTACCATTTGGATACAATGGCAGGTGGGTTTAGTATTCATGCATGACCCTAAAAACTTTCTAAAAAATCTTTTGGAATCATTTGTATCAGTTACAGGCCCCAGCTGGAGCCTTAGATACCCTATTTAAAAAAATATATGAATATTTTTTGTTCTTTGTTTAATTTCAAAAAATTTAAAATCATTAGATGATGATAGTTTGAGGAAATAGTCTTAATTTAGAAACTCTTTTTAAAATATGACTAGTCTTCTGATGTTTGATTGTTTAGGTTTATTTTTAGAATTAAACGTGTTAAAGGAAATTTTACAAATTGAAACAAACATTCCAGTTGAAATGTTAAATTGCAACTTGAATTATATATTAAAAGGCCACTTTTATATATGTCTTAGGCCTCAAGTTAAATTGATCCGCCCTCAATCCACTATTTGTACTCATTTGCATCTGACACTCGTAGCAAGGCCAATCTTACATAGCTTGCACATGTCCTATATTTTACAAGAAGGGCTTCTTTATTTCCCTTCAATTATCTCACACTCATGACAAGGCCAATCTTACATAGCTTGCACCTGTCCTATATTTTATTAGAATTTCTTTATTTCCCTTCAATTATCTATCCTATTTTTGTTCTTTATTTCCCTTCAATATCTTGTGAAGTTATGTTATTATTTATTTATATTTTGGCCAAATTTTGTCAATTTGTTTTGAGGTTTTAAATGATTCAACCCCATGTCCTCCTTTCTTTGACTGGTTTGTCCTTTGTTAGGGGAGGAGATAATTTCTGGAAGTCAGCGTATCCATATACCTGAATTATTGGCCGCTCGTGCGGAGGCTCGTGGAATTGATGTCAAAACGATGTCAACATATATAGATTCCTTCAGGTATAGTAACGCTTTTTAGTTACCACGTGACAATTCTTTCATATGCTTAAGTGTTACCGAGTCCTTACTGGCCTTGAACTTGTCCTATTATGGTCACCATGGTTTTTTTGAATTGTCATTCATTTTTTTTTTTTTCTCTGTACGTTTAGATATTTTCTTAGTGGCAAGTATCCTTGAGAATAATAATGAAAATTTTAGCATTGATCTACCACTCATTGATGGTCGTGAAATTGTGAATGCTTATTGTTCTCTTTCTCTGTTCCATCTTGTTTAATCATTGTTCTTTATTTTATTTTTCTACTTAGTTCATTTGGAATAAATCATCAAAATTTGGTTATATCCTATTTTCAAGTTAATTTAGAATTTGAAAAATCTGTTTGACAAACTTTATTAACACAAGTCCCTTAGATACGACACATTTACAAGTAAACCCTATCTACAAAGAGTGGTACATGTAAATCTCACAAGAAGTGTTACTGAGTCCTTACTGGCCTTGGACTTGAACTATTATGGTCACGATGGTTTTTTTTTTTTTTTTGGGGTAAATAACATTACAAATTACCTGCATAATACGTGGGTTCTAGAGTCTGTTGATTTCTACTTGGTTTCTTGGTCATTAGCATTTTCGAGTGAATCTTTTGAGACGATGAAAATGTTTTGTCCAAAATGGAAATGCTCATTTAGTGACCAGTATCCTTGAGAATAATAATGAAAATTTTTGCATTGATCTGCCATTCATTGATGGTCGTGAAATTGTGAATGCTGATTGTTCTCTTTCTCTGTTGCAGGTATGGTGCATTTCCACATGGTGGATTTGGAGCGGGGTTGGAGCGTGTGGTGATGCTATTTTGTGGTTTTAACTTTTAAGAACATACGCAAATCATCACTTTTTCCTCGTGACCCTAGCAGACTTGCTCCTTGACCTTCTACATGTTTGTTTTGTCTTTTTTTTTTTGTTTTTTTGTTTTTTTTAAATGTTATTAGAAATATGAAGACAAATAAAGTATTCACGGAGATATTATTTATATATTCCAGAATTGATCTTTTTTCTTATTATTTTCCATCTCTATTTTTTCTAATTGCATGGATGGAAACTCTATGTTTGCAAGAATTTCCTGAATTAGTGTTATGTTAGGCAGCCAATGACTTCTTCAAGAAAACTAATAAGTATATTTACCAACGTAGACAATGTTGAAATTGAATAAAAAAATATATAAAAAGCCAAAATCGTTTGGTTTGGGTTATGCTTTTAGAAAGATAAATACAGTAGATGAAATTGACAAGTAATAAAAAATATTTAGAGAGAGAGAATTAATGTGGAATTATATTTGTTGTAGACTCCATTCATGGAATTATATTTATTGTAGTATAAAATAGGGGTTAAACCATACATGCATTATACCATATATCCAAAACATGGTTTTACTTTGGTCCATCACCATCTCCCTAACTAAAGTAAAGTTGGTGATACTGTGGCCCACTGGCCCACCACCACCACGACGCCTTCTAAGAAGGAATGGAAACCCGCTTACAATATTCTCCAAGAGCCCACAATGGGAATATGTTCCTGTAGGCTGCATAATGTAACATACAGTTCCTCAAGAGAACTTCACTGATTTCTTGTAGTGAAAATATATACTACTCTATCAGTTTAGACAATAATGTTGGAAATTGATTAATAAAATAAAATTTGATGTAACCAAAAGAAATGATTATCCAGTTAACTCCAAAACTGTCCGATCATATGGTTGGCAAGAAAATGGACAAAAAGAAAGAGAAAAAAAAAAAAAAAACAAACATACCTCTAAATTTTTGTCTGAAAAATAAATTAAGGATGCTTTAGTATCAACTATATATATATATGTCCAAGTGAATCATTTAATTACCTGTTGAGGGACATCTCCATTTTCCATTTGCGAATTGATCAGTAACTTTGCTGCACGGTCTAGAGGTGTTGGATCTCTGTCAGCCTTCTTACAATCAAAAAACGATTATGATCAGTAAATCTCGTTTGAAGTTTGAAATAAGAATTGATGTTATAACTTGAAAATGTACCTGTCCACCATGAATTAGCCCCATCATAGCCCATGCAGTATGCACCAAGTTAGCTCTGGTGTCTTCTAGACCCACATATTTCTGCTTTACCAAGCATTTATATATATATATAGAGGGAAATTTAAGCATTTGAAGAACATATATATATATATATATGGATTCAATGAAGAACATGTTTTAAGCATTACCTTTTGAGGACATGAAATATAACTCTCTCCCCAACCTCCATTCTCTAGCTGTGAACTTATTAAAAATTCACAGCCTTTTCGAACACTTGTACAGTTGCTGTAAGTCTTACCTGCGGCTGCCAATCCTCCTGGTGCAAACCAAGTCCCATAAATGAAACAAATATCCCACTTCCCATACCTGGACAACAAGTTACATTGTTTTAGAGATATGTATATCTATGGGTTCGTGTGCGTATAGAGAGAAAGAGAGGGAGATTCAACTTAAGAACGTATTTTTGTTCATGCTGGAATTATGTGAAGGAGAAAACGGACCACGACCCATCTGGCATTTGCTCATCTTCAAGGTAACGAACTGCATTCGTGATGCAATCTTCAATTTCTTTCTTGCGATGTCCAGGGTATAATTTCTTAAACAACACTAGAGGCCTGGAGTGCCGATCCAGTGCATTCTACATACTCATGTTCAATGACAATGTCCTCAAAAAATTCGGTCGGATTAATAAGCTGCGAAAAGAAAATGAATTCATTTTCACTTAAATTTCATTTCTTCTCTAAACACCCAAGGTACTAAAGAATATGTTTGCTATCAATGGACTCTCCTCTCTCTTTGGGGAGGTTGAGTGTTTGAGCTGCTGTGGGGGGAAAAATATATATATATATATATATATAGTGTGTGTGTGTGTGTGTGTTAGCTTGAACTTCCGAAAAATAAAATGTGTTTGCTGCGAAGAGTGTGATTATCTTACTTCTAGCCATGCTTCTGCTCCTGCTGGCTCCCAAGCTGGTAAACCTCCATTTTTACTCTTCAAATAGTGAAAATAGGGAGTAAACTCAAGAGTTTTCAAATTTGAGTTATATATTATTTTGCAAGTGTTTCACAACAGAGTATACACCAATACTTGATATATTTACTCAGTTCTTACCTGTAATGACATGATGATATTCACTGCATCATAGAACCTCTGAGGCTCCAATTTTTCACCCACAATTTCTGGTGACAGTTGAGACATCAACAGACAACACTGCAACGGGGAAAATAAAAAAAATAAAAATCAATTATATAAAAAAAGGGACATCATCTTTGAAATTCATCAATGATTTATTACATCAGATTGAACTTGCTTATGGGGTAAAAAACAAATAAACACCTTAAGCGCTTCTGCAGTGCAGTCTGATACTTGCCAACCATGATCTCGATCTGAGAAAGTCCAAGATCCTTTAGAAATGTGCCTATACATGCTTCGAAAATCACCAGACGGGTTGTCTTGGTCCTTGAAAAATCAAAGAATAGAAAAATTAAGAAGACAGAATAGACACGCTTCATAATATAAAAATCTGTAAAAACAAACAAATAATAGTAGTAGCCAATATCTTCAAACTTGAGGTGAAGACCTGTGACTTCTTTATGTAATCATGTTCTTTCCTAAGAGTTTCCCCTGTTTCTTCAATCAGATTACTAGCCAATATTGCTTGAACTGCGAAACCTGTGTCCCATAGCTGACTTCCAAAACTCTGCCATAAGATCAGACTCAAAAATTAACAAAACTAATATATCATGACTCAAGTTTAAGATTCCTCTTCATAATTTTCCTCCATTTTCTTGGCAGACAAACAAAGGCAAATTAGCTTAGCTCTGACCTGCATCTTCATTCCATCTTCCGCTACCCACATGTAATCTGGGATCCTTGCAAGACGATACTTAAATTGGTCACCATTTGGATCTTCCACCCAACAAGCAAGCATACACAACACCTTCTCCACACAACCTATAGTAAGATATCTACTATTTTCATCTTCATAATGAATGTGTTTCATTGTTTTTTCAAGTGCACTCTCCCTCAATTTGTTGAGTGGCCGCCGCGTAAGTAATGGCTCTGCGAATATGTAAAGACCATCCCATAGCAGATTCTGTATAAGGTGATGAGGGTAATACAGATCTTCCTGCAATACGAAATTTGTATTAGCCACTGGAAATCCTTAAAAATGTATGTGTATGTGCATCGTTTATAACATGCAGAGAACCTTGGCGCATAAATGGCGAACATTTTTCCACCTAATTTCATGGTAAGGTTGAATATGAAGCTCTTCTCTTAATTGTACAATGAGATCTGTGATCGGTCCAACATATCTCTTCCCATATAAGTACGACATCGGCATGTAAACTGTCCGGCAGTAGCACCACATTTTTGCTGCATGAACATAATGAAACGATATGAAAATGAGATATAGAAGCTAAAGCATTTTTGTTTATAATATGAATCAGAGACCACATTTACAGAGTTGTCTACAGGGGTGTGCATATTCTGTTTAGTGTAACAAACATGTTAGCTTTAAGAAATGAAGACTATTCGGGCCAGTTTTCTGAGAGTAATTTTTTTATTTTCTGAAAATTCAAAATCAAAAACCTGTTTGCTTGACATTTTTTAAGAACTATTTTTTGAAAACTCAATTAAATAAATGTTTGTGTCTTTTATAGTTTTATGAAATAATTTTTGTTATCTGAGTTTTTGAGAACTATTTTTTGAGTGACAAACTAAGCAGATTGAAAATTATACAAAGACTACGTACTGAAAAATACCTGGATGCATTGGTAGACATGAAGGAAGCAACCAAAACTCTGGGGGCATCGGATTGTTGCCTGACCAATCAAATACACCAAGTATCTGCACTAAAAAGGAATACAATGATACAATAAATATATATAGCAGTTCATGCTTAGAATGATCAACATATATATAATATATATACGCATTATGTGGATTCAAAAGCTAATCATACACAGAGCCATATCTTTCCCCAGGAGGGTATCTTGGTTACACCACCGCGATCAAGGATCCACTTTCTTGCCCTTTCAACCACGAAGTTTTCACCACCATAGGGCCCTTCTCCTATTAACCTCATGCAAATGTAGCTGAGTGTGGTACTAAACATGGTGCTATGACCCTCTATGTGTAGTCCCCAACCTCCATCTTCATTCTGCAGAACCAAAGCCGTTAGTTAGCCATATAAGATGAATACAAGTGTGTGAAAATTAAGTATCTGATTATATATATATATATATATATATATATATATATATATATCACACGTACTTGGTGGTTGTATATGTACCGAAGAATCTCTTTGCGATGTTCTGATGGAAATATTGTATTAAGATGCCCTGTAATATACAAACACATGACCTGCATTTGTGCTTTGGTGGAGATAATGACTATAGTGATTGTGGAGGTTCAAACCCGAACCTGTCAAGTGAATAATTAAGACAGACTAAAGTTTATTTGTTTTTTCTTTTAAAGTAAATACTCACACATTATAGGGTTCGAATCTCTCACCTCCCTTTTAAGGAAGAAAATATTATAGCAGCTCGGCTAATGACTCAATACTGATAAGTTTTAATCATAAATTATTAATTAGATTATCTGGTCATATGGCTGGTCCTGTCTAGTCAATACTCTTCAAACTAAAACGAAATTTTTTATTGAACTAGACCACTAAGTGATTTATGATTCAGGACAATTTAATAATTTCTCGCTTAAGCATGAAAAAGATGACTGTGAGTCTACTATGTTGATTGGAATAACAAACCAGTGGAGGAAGGAAGAATAAGGGGCCTGCATTCTCGGCAGGCCAATGCCCATCGCTGGCCTGCATAGCGGAATAGAATAAGGGGCCTGCATTCTCGGCAGGCCAATGCCCATCGCTGGCCTACATGTAGCCACGCATACATATATATACTGGCTGGAATGTTGATACCACTGCCAAGAGACAGAAGGAAAATATGAAGAGAAGTTAATCACTTGGGTGGGTGGGCATCTGCCTTTTTATCACGTGTGAGCAATCTTTCCACAAAGAAACTCAACATTGTACAAATAATTAACTAAATTAAATAAGCTAAATGAACTGGGGTCATATCAAGTATATATACATGTGTGTATGCCTGTGTAAGTTGGTGGTTGAGTACCATTCACTCACATTGGTATTGACCTGATTGATAATCTTCAATCTGATAGCATCAATTATACCAGCATTTATAAAGAACACAGCTTGTCTAGCAAACCTGCATCAACAAATTTGGCATAAATTAAAAAGTTTCATAATGGAATTCGTGATGCACATGATTTGCAAGTGATTGTGTATTTATAGCAATTATCCCAACTCAAAAAGGGTTTAGAACATGTAGGAATTCCAAACGGAGCATGAAAAATTAAAAAACTGTTATATCAAGAAGAAAAATATGATAGTGACAATAACTTATCTTTTACTAATATAATTTTGGTTTGATAGCCTAGCTTCTATTGTGAGAGAAGACAGCCTAAATATTTTAGAAAAATTATAGAAATTAAGCAAATACTGGTGTAGTTGGCATCTAAATTTGTGATGAATTGAAGAAACCAATTAAGGGACAAATATACAAATACATACATACACAGATAGATCCATAGAAAACACGCACACACACAAATCCGGAAAAAAGAACTGCTATTGTCAGAAGTAACCCACAAAAAAGAGCGAGAAAAAATAAAATAAAATAAAATAAAAAACAGATGAAAACCACTAGTGATGCTACTACTACTACAAGGGAAGCCAAAACAACCATTGAAGCAAAAACTGGTTCTGTATTGAAAATTATCACTTACAAGGAACGAACGCTTCGGCCAAAATGCTAACAATAACAGCATATGAAAACAAATCAATAACAGATATGTAAACCCCACGAGTTCTTGTCATCAGAACTCACCAGAACAATAATTGATGTGTATATATGTGTGTGTGTATAGAGAAGAAGTTGAAATTGGTAGGGGAACGCGGAGACGAAGGGAAATTTGGAATTGCAGAGGGAGCTCCACCGTAAGCTTACGGTGAGTCTCAAAGGGGAGGAGAAGACACGTGGAAAGACGTCAGGGGCAATGTGGGAAAGTGACTAATTAAGAGGGTGTTTTGGTAAAAGCAGATGCAGAATTCGTGGGCAAAATGGGTAAGAAAAAAATTTGGACCATTTCTCGATTTGTGCGTGTCATCCTTGCCAATTTTATCGGATGTCCCCTAAGGGACGTACCTTCGTTATAATCTCACCGTATATTAATTCTCAAGACTTTGTTTCTTTTATCGATGTGGGACATTTTAGCTGTACGGGTTTGCACAGCCTAGTAAACCCACACTCTACCCTACCTACATAGGCTATAAATTTTTGCAAATCAATTAAATTCCTATCATTACACAGTAACTATTTATCTATCTTAACCTCGTAATTTAAACTTAGTACGGAGTATACAATTTTGGATGTCCAGAAGGAAGTGGATGGAAGCTAGAAAAATTACCTAAAAGGGTATGTTCTTCTATATGAAATTAGAGTTTTAAAATTAAAATAAGTAAAATTTGAAAAAAAAAAATTGATTCAATTTTTTTTAGATATTTTTTTCAAATTTTATCAATTTCATTGTTTAAGCTTCAATTCCATATAATCAAACATACTCTTAAAAAAATTGAGATAAGAAAAAGATGTTTAGTTACATGCACTTATATACGATTATAATACATGAATGTATGGATCCAGATCTTCTCTAGTAGAACAATAAAACGATTGAAATTCTTAACCAACTTCCCAACATTTTTATAAGTTATATCACTAATTTGTTGGAACATGAACCAGATGAGTGCATATCTTGTCTAAACTTCGTAAATCACAAATGAATTTAAATATATGTAAAGTTATATTATATAATAAAACTTTATAGAATATATAATGTGATTGTTCTTAAGAGTATAATTAATTACAATTTAAATTAAAGACAATGTGCTTCAAATTTTTTATTTTTTTATTCTTTTTTCCTAGTTGATACTCACACACACTTGTAACTCTTGATCACTTTTTGAGAAGTAAGAGGTTAATACCGCTAAGCCACTTGACCGTTGGTAAAAAAAAAAAAAAAAAAAAAAAAAATTGGTTTTCATCCTTAGAAACCTCCTTTATTATCAATTAAAAGAAATTTGCTCTAAAATTGCATGACATTATGGAAGAATGATTATCAGTTAGTTGTAAGAAAAATTATCTTCCGAATCCAATGTGGCATTTTAGATCGACGGATATATCATTTTAAAAGATTATGGGTTGTGTTCGTCTTCTATATTCTATGTTATAAACGCACATAGTAGCTAAGGGTACCGTCATATATAGTTCTCAATATTAAGAATATCCAATTTTCCTATGTAATAATGATAATAAAAAAATTGATCCTGATTAGCATATATAAACACAAGGTAATTATTATATTTTATAAAAAAAATAATAATTAACTACAAATGCTGTAACTTTCCAAAAGTGCTTTATAATGTTTTCATCTCTACAATAGCAATAAATTTCTCTACTGATCTAGTATTCAATAAAAATTTAACAAATATAAGTCAAGAAGGATTCATCAAAAGCATACTATCATGCCCTCTCTTTTTTCCCTCGTTAAGTGATGGCATTAGGTATAAACTGTTGCTCTGTCCATTCCTGTGCAACTCCTTCCGCTGCTCCTTAGCTTGTCACACTGAAAGTCCTTTCCTGAATGAAAATATTGGACTCTCGTCTCTCTTACACTTGCTGTGCATCACCACTACATGCGTACCGGAGGTTCACTGTCACTTTATCAACAATAGCCTCTTTCAACAATTCCACTGTTACCTTCCCGAGGTTTTATAGACCAAAATTGATTCCTGAACTGATTTAGAGTCCTCCTCAGCAGTCAGCAATGGAACTACACAAAATTAGTAAATTATTATATATATTTATTGAAATTGCAGGCCAACATAAGATATCTCATCATATGATAACTCTCGTTGTACTGTTTCAAATGGAGTCTCATTGCTAATTTACTCAAACATCCAAATTATGCTTGTGTATTCGGCCAGAAGCATAACATGCCTAGCAGACCAATCATGATTTTGCGGTAGAAGGAACAGCAACATAACAAGGTGAGCAAATTTCAGCGCTATCACAAGCACCTCAAAAGTCTCTATGACATTTGGATTGGGAAATCTAGAGTGCAATGTCCATTAGATCAAATATCTTAATCACACAACTATGTCAACCAATACCATTTGTGCAGTCTGAGCAGGAAAAATGAAAATATATGAGAATTCATAACTACTAGTAGTGCCTGAATGAGGATTCCCAAGCCATAGAGGTTGAAAATAGAGAACTACTTCATAAATAAATATAATGCATCTATATACTATTAGGTAAGTGAAGTTGAGAAGGCATAATGCATGGAAACAGAACCGTAAAAATCACCCATCCAACAACTAGTTAAGCTTTCCGAGCTTGAGCGAATAGGATCACCATCCATACAAATTTAGAGACAGTTGACTGAAAAATATCATTTATTTTTTATTTTAGAAGGATGCAATGGTCATTATGCATATTAAGAACTCCTTATGCTAGGAGTCTTGTTAATTCCCAGCTCCCTATCGAGGGTTCTGTTCTCTCTTCTCAAGCTTCTGTCCATGAAACCCTCTCTCTTCCTTGAGGACATCCTGCCCCATAAACCCCTGATGGTTATACAACAGCATAAACTCCAGTTCCTTAAATGTCAGACCAGGCCAGAATAATCATACCAATGGCACCAAACTCTATCGTCAAGTTCTCAGCCAGAACTATGTGTTTCAGCTGAAAGCCTAAATTGGCCCAAAATGGAATTGATACACATTAATTCTAACAACCAAGAGCAGGGTTCTCTTGCAGTCCTTGATGCGAAAAGACCACCAACCAAATCTCATTCTTCCCTGAGAAACCCTTTCTAAACATACATCAGCTCCCCACAATAATTGAACCTGAGATGCAAATTATCACCAATCGAATCAATTTAAGGCCTGAAGATTAACTCAGCAAGGCGCACAATAGCTGGTGATTCTGGGATTCTTGGTCTTCCTATGAGCACAAGTACAATTAGAAATGTCCAGTGACACGTATAAAGTAATGGTCTCTTACTCAGCCTCTTTTGAAAAAAAAAAAAAAAAAAAAAAAAAAGAAAATGATACAAGTGTTAGGGAAAAAAAAAATTTATTCTGAAGAATTTTAGCAGTTTTTATTATGAATATAAGTTTTTTTTTTCTTTCCTAGTTAAGCATAAGGTAAGTCATTAGAGATGAAAAAAGTTCAAAGAAAACTAAGAGCTTTGAGCTCTCTCACTTAACCTCATCGCACTCTTCTATATATGCATATGAGACATGGAAGTTTGCAGTTGCTTCCTCCTTCACCGCTCCTCCCTTCTCTCTTCTCCCATGTCCTCCTCTCTTGTGAACGAGATGCTTCAAACATGTGTTGTGCCCGTCTCTCATATTTCCTTGTTCTCAATTTTTTTTAACATTATATATACTAAAATGAAAGTGTTTTACTGCCCACCACATATTCAAAGACACTTTCAAGAACCAGTTTAAGCGTTGAACCCAAAATATGATCCTCACAATGATTTAAACCACTACAACATAATGGCTTTGATAGGAGATAATATGGATCAATGGACAAATTTAACAATTCATTTGCATGGATTAAATCTTAATAATTTCACGTTACATACACTTCAAGAACATACTCTAGTTTCAGAGTCTCTATCGTTCCTTCTAAAATCCAAGTTCTATTAAATATCAAACTTTTTTTTCACAACAATTATTATACATATATTGTTCATGAAATACAAGCAGGAACTAGAATTATTTATCTGCTACCAATAACATACTCATATTACATTGACATCTTTGTACTTACGAATTGTGATATACCAGTCAATATTGATACTTTCTTCAGTGTTCCATATTTCCAGAAGCAGTCGATGCAGCTATTAGAACAACTACTGAGATGCCATTTTTAAATTTTGAATAACTGTCATAAAAACAATAGTCATAGACTATTCTTCTTATTTTGAAATAGAGCAAACAAAAATTTAACGAAAGAGCCATATTATATGTCTACCCATTGACCATGGCACACTAGAAACTGTTTCATTATGTTGCCGTCCATTGCAAACTTGCAATTCAACTTGTACAGGTAAATTCAACCATCCTTTTCCCCACTTCTAATTTTGGCAATACATAATATGCTACACTAATCCAAGCAATCCATTCCCAATACATGAACTCCAGTCAGTTCATTCCAAATTAACCAAGTACCTTGTTACTAAGAAACATATCAGTGCTATTAAATATCAAAATTAACCAAGCACATTATTAGTAAGTAATGTATCAGTGCATCGCATATCGTCAGTTAATAATTCACAATAATAATAAACATATTATGCATCTACATGGTCCTAACCTACATACTAGTCTGTCAATTACAGCCACAAAGTACATCGATTCTCCCTAAAATGACTTAAACAGATGACAACTACGGAATCATAAACATATGTAGCCCACACACACATATACACTAGCTGGAATACTGTTACCACTCTCAAGACACACAAGGAAAATATGAAGAGAAGTTCATTACTTGGGTGGGCGGTCGATCATCCACCTTTTGATCACATGTTCGGGCGAGCTTCCACCAAGTAACTCAACATTATAAAAATAGATTAACTAAGTGAACTAGGGTCATATCAAGTAGATTTACATGTGTGTGTGCCTGTGTAAGTTGGTGGTTGAGTACCATTCACTCACATTGGCGTTGACCTGATTGATAATCTTCAATCTGATAGCATCAATTATACCAACATTTCACTCACATAAAGAACACGCTTGTCAAGCAAACCTGCATCAATAAATTTGGCATAAATTAAAAAAGTGGCATAATGGAATTCGTGATGCACATGATTTGCAAGTGATAGTGTATTTATTTCAATTAACCCGACTCAAATAAGGTTTAGAACACCGTAAGGTAGCCCACGAAAAAAAAAAAAAAAAACGAAAAGAAAGTTTCTACAGAATTTCAACCAGAGCATGAAATTTTGAGAAGAAAAATATGATGGGGATGCTAACTTATCATTCACTTTTATAATTATGGTTTGATTGCCTAGTTTCTATTGTGAGGAAAGGCATCTTAAATATTTTAGAAAATTCATAGAAATTAAGCAAATACTGGTGTAGTTGGCATTTAAATTTGTGATGAATTGAAGAAACCAATTGAAAAATACACTATATACACAGATAGATACAAAAACACACAAAAATTCACAAATAAAAGGGGAGGGGAAGCAAAAAACCAAATGAATTCAGAAAAAGAACCACTGTAACAAAGAGGAAAAAGAAATCCCAGATGAAAACCACAACTAGTGATGCTACTACTACTACAATAGAAACCAAAACAACCATTGAAGCAAAAACTGGTTGTGTTGAAAACTGAATCTTGCCAGGAATGAACAAACTCTTTGACCAAAATGCACAGCAACAATATTAGCATAAGAAAACAAATCAAGCACAGATACGGAACTTATATATGCGTCGAAATCATGAAGAGAACCTGGAACAGAGTGAAAAGGGAAGAGACGACTACCCTGTTTTCGAGTTCTTGTCATCAACACTAACCAGAACAATAATTGATGGAATATATGCATATATGTGTGTATATATATATATATAGAGAGAGAGAGAGAGAGAGAGAGCGAGCGAGAGAGGGGAACACGGAGGCGAAGGGGAATTTGGAATTGCAGAGGGAGCTCCACCAGAAGCTTACAGTGAGTCTCAAAGGGGGAGGAGAAGACACGAGGGTGTTTTGGTAAAATCAGATGCAAAAGTCGTGGGCAAAATGGGAAAGAAAAAATTTGGACCATTTCTCAATTTGTGCGTGTCATCCTTGCGCAGGGGCCATGCTAATCTTCTCTGTATCGTTCCAATTTTATCGGATGTCCCCGAGGGGACGTTTATTTATTGTGATCTCACCATATATTAACTCTGAAGACTTCGTTTCTTTTATCGATGTGGGACATTTTAACTGTACGGGAGTCAGTATTTCCACAGCCTACTAAACCTACAACTCTAGCCTACATACATAGGCTATAAATTTTGGCGATCCATTAAATTACTAAATTTTATCTATCCTTGTAATTTGAGCTTAGTATACTACTACAATTTTAGATGTCCAGAGGATCAGTAGGAAGAAAAATCACCCTTCAAAAAAATTGGAGGGAAGAAAAACATACTCATAGTTACGTGGACTGTACATGAGTATGGCATATTAGTCCGTATGGTGTCTAATCTTTGTAAATCACATTATCACATATGAAGTTAGATACGGTATAAATAAACAAACTGGCATTTAAATACATTATATATTCTATAAAGCTTAGTATACAGTGTGATTGTACTTAAAAGTATGCTTAATTAGAATTTAAATTAAAGGTTATGGGGTGGCAAAAAAAAACAGTATTAATCCATCTAAATTTTTGCAGTAAATTTGAGCTTATTCTTCTTCTTTTATTGTAATATCTAAATAATCACATAGTTACATACTTGTTGTACACATGTCATTTCGTGTTGATCTTTGTACATGAGACGAAATAAGAAAGTCTTTCTAACCTAATGAATAATGTCTTTTCACTGATCTTACCTCACATTTGATAAGTTCTTTTTACAAGCTTGCTATAGACTAGCAAAATATGAAATAATATTCCAACACCGATTCAAATCTTGCACAAAATTAACGAATTTGGGTTAACATTGATCGATTTTGCATTGTAACTGGCAAAATATGAAAAAATATTCCAACACAACTCAAATCTAACACAAAGGGCCGGTCTAGACTACAGTTCTTTTGTGCTTTTGGTTTGACTCGAAGCAGAAACAATATTTCTACTTTAGAGTGTGTTCAACACTATTTCGAAACTTATTTGATAACGTAAATTTGTTATAAGATTTTTAAAAGCAAAAACATGAATGCATGTTTGGTAGAAAGTGTTGTAAGTTCGAAAATTTGAATGGCTACTTAAAAATGTTATTTTAGTAAGAATTTTTTTTTTTTTTTTTAACAGTGTTTTGCTACAGTGCAAAAGCAAACAAAAGCATCTTTTTGATGCTTTCGATTTTGGCCTCAATTTTAGAAACGCTTCGGTACCATTCAAATTATAACAAACATTACCAAACATATTTTATACTTTGTGCTTTTGCTTCGCTACAGTACACTAGCAAAAACAAAAAACACGAAGTAAAAGCATTAGCCAAACTGCCCAAAATTAACGAATTTAGGTTAACACTGATAGCTTTTGCGTTATAAACGTGAAAAAAAAAAAATTAAAATAAAAATAGAAGAAGAAGAAGAAGAAGATTAACCTATTAGAATAAACAAATATTCTTGTTCAGTTTTGAGAATTCAACTTATTTAACTTGATTTAGCTTGTTTAATTTAATATGTCAAATCAACAAAGATATCTCCTTAACTTTAAAAATAATCCAATCAGCCTAGGCCAACAATATCTCACATTCGGCTTCTGACCCATTCTGTCCAAGTTTTATGTGGGGGGCATGCCTCAAATACTGTATCACGGTCGAAATAAAATTAAGGCCACAGCTTCACACATTCTGATGATGAGTTCTTGAATTTAAAAAACCATGAGAATCGGCTACTGAAACTCTGAAACAATTCTGTTTGCCTGAAAAATATACCATTAATTTTGATTTTAGAAGGATGTCATGGTCACTATGCATGCTAAAGAACTACTTATGGGAGTAGAAGTCTTGTGAATCCTGAATTCATCCTGGACAAACTGAACATCATAACCAAACTAATATAGACTTAATCATGAATTGAGCCAACAATGTCACACTTGCATAAAAGAGAACAGTGTTATATAATCTAATTTATTTATGCTCTAAACGAAAGAGGAAGATAACAGTTGCTGGATAGAAAAATGCAGCACTGAGTTAGATGCTTGCATCATTATAATTGAACATACAACACTTGCACAATAGACTCTTTCAACAATTTCAAAGTTTCCTTCCCAAGGTTTTATTGTCGAAAATTGATTCCTGGACTGATTTAGATGCCTCGTCAGCTGTCAGCACTGAACTGCACACAATTAGCAAATTGTTCTATATACTGAAATTGCTGACCAACTACTAACCAAGGAAAGGAAAATTTTAAAAATATATGGTGTATTCGCCATAGATAACTCTTGCTATCCTGTTTCAGATGGAGAGTCTCATTCTATTTACACAAACATGCAATGTATGCTTGTGTATTCGGCCAGAAGCATAACATGCCCAGCAAACCAATCATGCAAAAGCATGAGGTAGAAGGAAAAATAACATGACAAGGTGAGCAATTTTCAGCAGTATCATGAGCACCTCAAAAGTCTCTGACATTTGGTTTGGGAAATCTAGGCCGGAATGACCATTAGATCAAATAACTTAATCACACAACCATGTCAACCAATACCATTTGTGCAGTCTGATCAGGAAAACTGAAAATCTATGACAATTCATAACAACTAGTAGTGCCTGAATGAGGATTCCCAAGCCATAGAGGTTGAAAATAGAGAAACTACTTCATAAATAAATATAATGCATATACTTTTAGGTAAGTAGAGTTGAGAAAGCATAATGCATGGAAATATGAACGTAAAAATCATCCATCCAATGATAAAATAGTGGCATAGTTGGACAACTAGTTAAGCTTACTGAGCTTGAGCAAATAGGATCATTATCCATACAAATTGAGAGACAGTTGACCGGAAAATGTCATTATTTTGATTTTAGAAGGATGCAATGGTCATGATGCATATTAGGAACTCCTTATGCTAGGAGTCTTGTTAATCCCCGGCTCCCTACCACAAGGGTTCTGTTCCCTCTTCTCAAGCTTCTGTCCGTGAAACCCCTCTCTTCCATGAGGACATGCTGACCATAAACCCCTGCTGGTTATACAATAAAATAAACTCCAGTTCCTTAAATGAAAGACCAGACCAGAATAATCATACCAATGACACAAAAATCTACCATTGAGTTCTCAGCCAGAACTATGTGTTTCAGCTGAAAGCCTAAAGTGGCCCAAAATGGAATAGATACACATTGGTACTAACAACCAACTGTAGGTCTCTCTTGCAGTCCTTGATGTGAAATACCAAAAACCAAATCTCATTCTTCCCCGAGAAACCCTCTCCAAATATACATCAGCTCCCCACAATAATTGAACCTGTTTCACCAAATATACATCAGCTCCCCACAATAATTGAACCTGAGATGCGGAGTATCACCAATAGAAACAATTTAAGCCCTGAATATATTTTTTTTTTCCAGTTGGTACTCACACACACTTGTCTCTTCTGATACTTGAAGTCCTAACCTCCCTTGGGAAGTAAGAGGCTGATACCGCTAGGCCACTGGCCCGTTGGTTAAGCCCTGAATATTAACTCAGTAAGGCGCACGATAGCTGGTGATTCTAGGATTTTGCTCTTCCTATGAGCACAAGTACAATTAGAAACATCTGTCTCTTACTCAACCTCTTTTTGAAGTGCATCAAACAGCTCCCTCTTTTCAGAGTTTATATTAGAAACAAAGCTGGATTTTTTTAAATATATATATATATATATATATTATATTTTAAAAATATTGGATGTCTCAAGGTTTTAATGATGGATTTGTCCTAACATGAATCAATATTGATTCTGAAGAATTTTAGCAGTTTTTATGAAGCATGTAAATTTTTACTATTGGTTTAAATCAGATTGGTCCTTAGAGATGAAAATGTAAAGAAAACTAGGAGTTTTGATCTCTCTTTCCCCTCTCGCTTAACCTCATCGCTCTCTTCTATACATATACGAATGAGACGTGGAAGTTTGCAAGTGCTTCCCCCTTCACCCCTCTTCTCTCTTCTCACATCTCCTCCTCTCTTGAAAACGAGATGCTTCAAAGACACGTTGTGCCCACCTCTCATATTTCCTTCTTCTCACTCTTTTTAGCATTATACTAAAATGAAAGTGTTTTATTGCCCACCACATATTCAAACTTCAAAGACATTATCAAGAACCAGTTTAAGCTTTGAACCCCTAATATGATCCTCACCATAACTAAACCAAAATAACATCATGGCTTTGATAGGAGATAATATTGATCAATTGATAATTTAACAAAAAAATTCATTTGCATGGATTTAGTCCTAACAATCTCACTTTACATACATTTCAAGCACATATTTTTGCATCTTATTCTTGGGTAACCACGCATCTTTATAACAAATTTACAATATTATCACTCTCAACTTACTCATCATAATCTAGTTTCACTGTCTCTAATAGATACATAATATGCTGTAGCGGCTGCTACACCAATCGAAGCAATCCATTCCTGATACATGAACTCCAGTCAGTTCATTCCAAATTAACTCAGTACATTTTTAATAAGAAATATATCATTGCATTGGATATCCAAATTAACCAAGAACATTATTACTAAGAAATATATCAGTCCATTGCATATCGTCAGTAAAAAATTCACAATAATATAAACAGATTATGCATCCACACACAAGTCTGTCAGTTACATTCCAATTCAATAGCCACAAAGCACATCAATTCTCACTAGAATTACTTAACCAGATAACAACTATGGAATCATAAATAGATGTAGCCACACACACATATACACCGGCCGGAATATTGTTACCACTCCCAAGGAACACAAGGAAAATATGAAGAGAAGTTTGATCACTTGGGTGGGTGGTCGATAGTCAACTAAATTAAATTAAATAAATGAACTAGGGTCATATCAAGTATATATACATGTGTGTGTGCCTGTGGAAGTTGGTAGTTGAGTACCATTCACTCACATTGGCAATTGGCCTGATTAATAACCTTCAATCTGATAGCATCATATATATCAACATTTATAAAGAACACGCTTGTCTAGCAAACCTGCATCAACAAAATTGGCATTAATTTAAATTTTGTCATAAGGGAATTCGTGATGCACATAATTTGCAAGTGATTGTGTATTTATAGCAATTATCCCGACTCAAATAAGGTTTAGAACACCAAAATGTAGCTCACAAAAAAGAAAAGAAAAGAAAGTTTATACAGAATTTCAAACCGATCATGAAAAATTGAGGAACTGTTGTTGTATCATGAAGAAAAATATGATGGTGACACTAACTTGTCTTTTACTAATATAATTATGGTTTGATAGCCTAGCTTCTATTGTGAGGAAATATAACCTAAATATTTTAGAAAATTTATACTAGAAATTAAGCAAATACTGGTATAGTTGGCATCTAAATTTGTGATGAATTGAAGAGACAAATTAAGGGACATATATACACATACATACACATATAGATACATAGAAAACACCACACAAAAAAATCACAACAAATAAATGAGTTCCGAAAAAAGAATTGCTATCTATTGTCAGAAGGAACCCACACACAAAAACCAGATGAAAATCACAACTAGTGATGCTACTACTACTACTACAAGAGAAGCCAAAACTAGTTGTGTGTTGAAAATTATTTAACTTACAAGGAACGAACCCTTTGGGCAAAATGCTAACAATAACACCATAAGAAAACAAATCAATCACAGATATGTAAACCCCAAGACTTCTTGTCATCAGCTTTGTGTCTGTATATATATAGAGAGAGAGAGGAGTTACTGAAATTGGTAGGGGAACGCGGAGACGAAGGAAGAGGAATTACAGAGGGAGGAGCTCCACTATAAGCTTACGGTGAGTCTCAAAGGGGGAGGAGAAGACACGTCGAAAGATGTCAGGGGTAGTGTGGGAAAGTGACGATTTACGAGGGTGTTTTGGTAAAATCAGATACAGAAGTCGTGGGCAAAATGGGTAAGAAAAAAATTTGGACCATTTCTCGATTTGTGCGTGTCATCCTTGCGCAGGGGCCATGTGTCATCCTTGCGCAGGGGCCATGCTAATCTTCTCTGTATGGTTCCAATTTTATTGGATGTCTCGCGCAGGGGCCATGCTAATCTTCTCTGTATCGTTCCAATTTTATCATGTCCCCGAAGGGACGTACATTAGTCCTGATCTCACCATATATTAACCACAAAGACTTCGTTCTTTTCGTCGATGTGGGACTTATTGGCTGTACGGGCGTCAGTCATGATTACACAGCCTAGTAAACCTACGACTCTACCCTACATACATAGCCTGTAAACTTCTGCACTCCATTAAATTATTATCATTATAAATTGATCTATCTTAACCTCGTAAATTTAGCTTAGTATACAATTTTGGAAGTCCAGAAGGAAGCGGAAAAAAGAAGAAAAATACCCTTAAAAAAATTGGAGGGAAGAAAAACATGCTCACAGTTATATGGACTTGTGCATGGAAATGGCATATAAGTCTGCATCGTGTCTAATCTTGGTAAATCACTTTATTACATATTAAATTAAATACAAATAAACCAACGGGCATTTAAATACATTATATATTCTATGAAGCTTAATATATAATGTGATTGTTCTTAAAAAGTATGCTTAATTAGAATTTAAATTAAAGGTAATGCGGTGGGAAAATAAAAGGTTTTTTTTCATCAAAACCTTCTCTACTAGTAAATTTGAACTTATTCTTCTTCTTTTATCATAATATTTAAAGAGTCACAAAGTCCAATTTAGATGGTTGAACACATAATTTCATATTTGATGTACATGTCATTTGATGTTGACCTTTACACATGAGGCAAAATAAAAGAATTCTAATGTAATAGATATTGTCAATCTTGCTTCACATTTCATAAATTCTTTTTAGAAGCTTACAATATAATGACAAAATATAAACGACCCACAAGTTCTTTTTAGAAACTTATAATAGAATGATAAAATATGAACTTATTCTTCTTCTTTTATCGTAATATCTAAAGAGTCACAAAGTCCAATTTAGATGGTTGAACACATAATTTCATAATTGATGTACATGTCATTTGATGCTGACCTTTACGCAAATAAGAGAATTCAAATACAATAGATAATGTCAATCTTGCTTCACATTCCATAAATTCTTTTTAGAAACTTACAATAGAATAACAAAATATAAAACGATCTTTTAACACATAATTAACGAATTTGGAATTAACAATGATTACTTTTGCTTTGTAATTGTGTGAATCAGATTAACATGTTTCAAAAAACAAGTAAACTAGTTCAGTTTTGAAAACTCAACTTATTTAACTTGGTTTGGCTTGTTTAATTAAATATGTCAAATTAGAAAATAAAAATAAAAATTAAATATGTCAAATCAACAAAAAAATATATATTCTTAATTATATTTAAAAATAATCCAATCGACCTAGGTCAAATGCAGAATAGTGAGACTCCGGATGGTGAGGGCCACACCAACAATATCACACATTCGGTCTGACCCATTCCGGATCATATTCAAAACAAAATTCAGGTCAGACATTCTGCTGATGTCCTTTTGGGACACTCGTGTGGTTTTAAAAATCATGAGAGTCAGTTACTGAAATTCTTAAACAATTCTCTTGGAAAAAAGGATTATGTGATGTTTCTCTCTGTGATGTTTATAAAGCTCGGGGTAGTCCTGTCATATTTAGGTCTCAATATTAAGAATATCCACTTTGCCTATCTTATAATTGAACATAAAAAAATTGATTCAGGTTAGCATGCTATAAACACAATGTCATATTTGTAATGCTTTCACTACTACAATAGCAATAAATTTCCCAAGTGATCTTATATTCAATAATAATTTAACAAAATACAAGTTAAGATCGACTCATTAAAAGCATACAATCACGTCCTAACTTTTCCCTCGTCTCTCTTACAGTGGCTGTGCATCACTGTCACTTAAATTCAATGTTTCATTCCCAAGGTTTTACTGTCCAAACTTGATTCCTGAACTCATTTTAGAGGCCTCCTCAACAGTCAACAATGGAACTGCACAAAATTGGCAAATTATTATTATATATTATAACAATCATACAAAAGTTTGCAGTAGAAGGAAAAATGACAAGCACCTCAAAGGCTATGGGACATTTGTGCAGTCTAATCAGTAAAAATGAGAATCTAGTGTGCAATGTCCATTAGATCAAATACACAACCAATACAATTTGTGAAGTCTAATCAGGAAAAATGAAAATCTATGATAATTCATAACAACTAGTAGTGCCTGAGTGAGGCTTCCCAGGTCATAGAGATTGAAAAAAGAGAAACTATTTCATAAATAAATATAGACTATATAATACTTATCAAATATATATATATATATATATAGACTATATAATGCACACTTTTAGGTATTGATCGAGCAGAAGGCAAGGAGACAGAAACGTAAAAATCACCCATCCAACAACAAAATAGTGGCATAGTTGGACAACTAGTTAAGGTTTACTGAGCTTAAGCAAATAGGATCAAAATCCATACAAATTTAGAGACAGTTAACAGTTGCCTGAAATATCATTAATTTTGATTTTAGAAGGATGCCATGGTCACTATGCATGCTAAAGAACTACTAATGCTAGGACTAGGAGTCTTGTGAATCCTCTGCTCCCTACCCGGGGTTCCATTCCCTCCTTCAAAATTTACATTCAGTTACTGCAGGATGCTTTTAGTGGTCTGCCCAACTCTGTCCAAGCTTTTCGTGAGGGCTACGCCCAAAATATTGAAACCGGATTGTGTATATTGATACACCCAAAATATTTAAACTGGAGAAACAAAATTTGGACCACAACTTCACACATTGTGCTTATGGCCTTTTGGGAGACCGGTGTGGATGAGGAGTTCTTGAATTTTTAAAACCATAAAACTGTAAGGGTCATTCATTTACTGCAGGATGTTCGAAGACCATACTTTTAGGGGCCAATTTGTATAGAGGAGAAAGATTTTGAAAGATTTTTTCTATCTTTTTCTATATAATTCTAGTGACAAAGATAAGAATTAAAAACCCCAATATGATCCTCACCATGACTAAACCACTATAACATAATGGCTTTGATAGGAGATAATATTGATCAATGGACAATTTTAACAAACAATTCATATGCATTAATTAAATATAAATAATCTCACGTTACGTATACTTTAAGCACATCCTTTTTGCATCCTATAAACTGAATCTTATTCTCGGGTAACCATGCATTTTTATAACAAATTTACAATATTATGACTCTCAACTTAATCACTCAAATCTAGTTTCACTGTCTATAATGTTCCTTCTAAAATTCAAGTTCTATTAAATATCCAACCTTTTTTTCACGACAATTGTGATATTCAATAACTTTGTCACGTATTCATATCTCCTTTGACATCTTTCTACTTAGGAAATCATTAGGGCAGTCAATATTGAGAATTTCTTCAACGTTCCATATTTCCACAAGCAGTCAATCGATGCAGCAATTAGTAGAACTACAACTACTGAGATGCCACTTTTCAATTTTAGATAACTTACATACAAACCAAAGTCATGAACCATTCTTCTAATTTTTAAATAGAGCAACCGAAAATTCAAACACGAACCATATTATACATTTACTCGCTGGCCACATCATATCAAAACTGTTTATTGTGTTTTTTTTTTTTGTTGCAATTCAACTAGTACAGGCCACTTCAACCATCCTATTGTACTTTTGTATTCTTTTAATGAAACTATCCATTCAAGGGGCAGGGAAAAAAAACTTCAACCATCCTTTTCCCCACAACTTCCACTTTAGGATTCACACTGTCCTCCATTATCAGCAAGATTAATGCAACACATAATATGCTGCTCCACTAATCCTAGCAATCCATTCCTAATACATAAACATCAGTTAATTCCTTCCAAATTAACCAAGTACATTATTACTAAGAGACATATTGGTCTATCACATATCATCAGTAAATAACTCACAATAATAATAACAGATTATGCATCCACACACAAATCCAATTTAACAGCCACAAAATACATCGATTCTCCCTAGAATTTTACTTAAACATATAAGAGCTATGGAATCATAAATACATGTAACCACACACACATATATAATGGCTGGAATAAGTTGATCACTTGGGTGGGTGGTCGTCCACCTTTTGATCACATGTGCAAGCTTCCACCAAAAAAGTCAACATTATACAAATTATTAACTAAGTTAACTAGGGTCATAGTAAGTATATATTCATGTGTGCGCCCCTGTGTAAGTTGATGGTTCAGTAACATTGACTAACAATTGGCATTGACCAGATTGATAATCTGATAGCATCAAATGTACCAACATTTATCGAGGACTCTAAAACATCTTATTGTCATTATGGTGTTCCATTTTTAAATCAAGTAACACACTAGTCTAGCTAACCTGCATCAACAAATTTAATATAAATTAAAAATTGTCAATATGGAATTCGTGATGCAAATGATTTTCAGGCCTAGCAGCTAACTCTGACAAAAGCAAAATTTTCTTCTCCGGTGTCACTGAAGCTGCACAGGAATGTATCATGAACATCATGCAATTTCAAAGAGAAGACCTTCCATTCACCTACTTAGGTATCCCTCTTATCTCATCTATGCTCAGTTCCACTCATTGTACTAGCCTTGTGAATAAGATCTCTGGTAGAATCACTCACTCGTCAAGTAAAGCCCTATCCTATGCTGGTAGACTCCAACTTTGTAAATCTGTGCTCTGCAGCATCCAATTCCACTGGATGAACATCTTCAGTCTCCCCAAGATGACCATCAACCTCATCAATTCCATCATTAGAAAGTTTCTTTGGTCAGTTTCCAGTCCAATTAAAAGGAACTCCAAGGTGGCATGGATTCAGGTATCTCTTCCTAAGGCAAGTGGTGGACTTGGTCTCCCATTCTCTCTTAATTGAACAGAGCTGCAATGCTCTACTATATATGGCATCTCTTCAAGGTTCCAGGCAGCATATGGTCCAAATGGATATACTCCAACATTATCAAG